CGGGGGGGGGACTGGGCCTGGCTGCAGCACGGAGAAGCTGTGCTGCAGCAGCCGTGCTGCTGCTGCTGCTGCTGCACCTGGGCAAGCGCGAGACACACACAAACGGCCTGCTGCTGCTGCTGCTGCTGCTGCTGCTGCTGCTGCTGCTGCTGGGGGCAACAAGAGACAGTTTTGAGAGGGGCGAAGCAGCAAAAAGGAGACACAAGAGGGACAAAATGGAGAGGTAAAATAAAAAGACAAAAAGAGACAAAAGAGACAAAAAGTGTTGTGGAAAAGAAGGATAAAAGAGAGATAATAAAAAGATAATAGAAAGAGAAAAAGGAACTTAAAAAATAATTAAAAAGGAGACAAAAAGAGACAAAAAGGAAATTAAAAAAGATTTTAAAAGGGAGACAAAAAGAAGACAAAAAGGAACTCAAGAAGGAGATCAAAAAGGAGACAAAAAGAGAATTAAAAAGGGGAAAAAAAGGAGACAAAAAGGGAATTAAAAAGGAGAAAAAAAGGAATTAAAAAGGAGACAAAAAGGAATTAAAAAGGAGACAAAAAGGGAACTAAAAAGGAGACAAAAAGGAATTAAAAAGGAGACAAAAAGGAATCAAAAAGGAGACAAAAAGGGAATTAAAAAGGGAATTAAAAAGGAGACAAAAAGGAATTGAAAAAGACAAAAAGGAGACAAAAAAATAAAAACAAAATCCAAAAGAGACAAAAGGAGACACTTCTCACCTGGGGGGTTGTGGGCCTCCACTGCGCATTTGCTGCAGAAAGGCTTGACGCAGTTTCTGCAGAAGACAGCAGCACTTTGCTGCTGGCAAAGGTAGCAAATGAAGGGCCAGTCTTCGTTTGCTGCTGCTGCTGCTGCTGCTGCTGCTGCTGCTGCTGCTGCGGGCTTTGCTGCTGCGGCCGCAGCCCCCGCAGCAGCAGCAGCAGCCACCGAAGACGCCGTCAAAGCAGCAGCACCCACCCGCCGCTTCTCCTGCGGCCCCTCACCTGCTGCTGCTGCTGCTGCTGCTGCTGCTGCTGCTTCGGGGCCCCCGCCCCCTGCTGCTGCTGCTGCTGCTGCTGCTGCTGCTTTGGACTTTTTGAAGTACCTGCCCGCAAGAGTTGCTGCTGCTGTGTCAGAAATAAGTGTCTCCTTACTGCAGCACGGACAAGAGAGACAGTTGTAGGGGGCCAGCGGGTTTGCTGCTGCTTGCTGCTGCAGCAGCTTTGCTGCGCAGGGGAGACACAAGACATGGTTGCACTGCAGCAGCAGCAAGTCCGGCGCTGCTGCAGTGCAGCAGCAGCAAGCAACGTCGGGGGGCCCCCCGCTGCTGCCGCGCGCTGCTGTACCCTCTCCGGGGGGGCCCCCAGCAGCGGCGGGGGGCCCCCCAGCCGGCGCCTCGGGGGGCCCCTCAGCAGCAGCAGGGGGGCCCCCAGGGGCCTCGGGGGGCCCCTGGGGTTTGGGGGCCCCTGCTGCTGCCAGTGCAGCACGAAATGCCAGCACTTTGGGCTCGGGGGCCTTCTCTAGGGCCAGGGGGGCCTCGGGCCGCCACGGCATTGTCCAGGGTTTAGGGTTTAGGGTTTAGGGTTTAGGGTTTAGGGTTTAGGGTTTAGCGGCGCAGAGCCGCGTGGAAACCACGGGGTGAGACGCGCGACTCAGACTGGGAGGCTCAGGGTTTAAACGCCAGACATATGATTTAGGGTTTAGGGTTTAGGGTTTATAGAGCCAAGGGTTTAGGGTTTAGGGTTTAGGGTTTAGGATTTAGGGTTTTGGGTTTAGGATGGGCGTCAGTCGGCAGCGGCCCACGGCCCTCCGCAATTGCTCCCGAGGAAGCAAAACCCTAAACCCTAAACCCTAGATTTAAACCCTTAAAAAGAGCTGTTAAAATTATTAAATCAATGTTTTGGGGGTTTAGGGAGGCCCCTAGGGTTTAGGGTTTAGGGTTTAGGGTTTGGGGCTCGGCAGCATAACCAGCGGCCCCCGACCACAGGTCACGCAGTGACTGCTCAGCAAGGGTTTAGGGTTTAGGATCTAGGGTTTAGGGTTTAGGGTTTAGGATTTAGGGTTTAGGGTTTAGGGTTTAGTTTAAAGGTCAAAGGATTCGCCGCCTGTCACTGTTACGTAGAAAGTGGCAGGTGTGCCACACACAGTTGGGGGTTCAGGGTTTAGGGTTTAGGGTTTAGGGTTTAGGGTTGAAGATTTGGATTAGTTTAGGGTTTACAGGGTGGATATTTGGGGATTATTATTTATAGTTGAGCTTTCACACGCAGGGTTTAGGGTTTAGGGTTTGGGGTTTAGGGTTTGAGTTTAGGGCTGAGCAGCGAGAACTGCAAGGCATTCACTCTCTAGAGTTTTGAAGTTAAGAGGGTTTAGGGTTTAGGGTTTAGGGTTTAGGGTTTAGCGTGGCCTTATATGCATACAACTATAAAAATCACTATATATATGGCCATAGACTAAAGTGTAGATAAATAAGGATACTGAGCAGCAGCAACGGTTGCAGCAGCAGCAGCAGCAGTAGTAGTAGCAGCAGCAACAGTAGCAGCAGCAGCAGCAGTAGTAGTAGCAGCAGCAACAGTAGCAGCAGCAGCGACAGTAGTTGTAGCAGCAGCAACAGCAGCAGCAGCAGCAATAACTGTAGCAGCAGCAGCGGCCGCAGTGCGGGCAGAGGCAGAAGCATCAGCAGCAACAGCAGCAGCAGCAGCAGCAACAGTAGCTGGAGCAGCAGCAGCAACAGCAGCAGCAGCAACAGTACTTCGAGCGGCAGCAGCAGCAGCAGCAGCGTTAATGTTGCTGCTGCTGCTGAAGCTGCAGGTGTACATACAGCTGAAGGCAGGCACAAGGGCGTGCAGGTGTATGTACACCTCGGAAGCTTTTTAGATAAAAACGTAAAACAAAAGAAATGAATTATTTATTATTTTTGTTTTTCACAAAAACATATTTTATAATTAACAGATATTATTTATTTATTTTAAATTAGTATTTTATATTTATTTGGCATTCATTTAATATTTATTAACTTTTATATTTACTTTTTATTATATTTTAATTTTAATTTTTTTGTTTTCATTTTTTGGCCTTGGACCTGCACAAGTGCATGCACTGAAATTCAAGGCGAAGTTGCATGCAGCAAAAGTTTATTTGTAATAAATACTTTTAATAAATACCTTTAACAAATACTTTTAATAAATACTTTTAACAAATGCTTTTAATAAATACTTTTAATAAGTACCTTTAATAAATACTTTTAATAAATACTTTTAATAAATAGTTGTAATAAATATACTTATGTAAATATATATATAAATATATGTATATATATATAAATATATGCATATATATACATATATATAGTATATAAATAGAAATAAATGGATATTTGTATATAATGCGTATTTAATTTGTTGTTAATACTACATGGAAGAAAATATATAACCTGAAGTGAATAAAATGGTTATAAAAATACAAATAAATATAAATATATATTTGTACATTGCTTAAATGTATATATGAATACACAATCACATAAATGCATGAAAAGAAATGAATTTGTGAATAAATTCATTTGTATATATAGGCGGAGAGTGCATGCAGAAGGTTTTATTTGGGATTATTTGCTTTTTTCGGAACATATTTAAATTATTTACATTTAAATGCATGCAATTTGGGAGAATAAATGTAGATTGAACTTGCAACATGAAAATAAAAGTCTGCAAACACATTTGCATGCGTGCAAGTGCAGCTGAGTGAAGTGTACGTACACCCCAGTTGCATTTGCATGCAAGCATGCAAATGCAGATAAAAGTGAATAACTGCGCAATGAATTATATTTAAACATTTATTTATGCATAATTATATAAATATAATTCCAAAAAAGACTTCTTTCTCCTCCCTTCGAAGTGCTTTCATGTGTTCTCTGTACATACACTCCACGGCGGCGTCTGTACACCCGAATGCTTCTCCCTTATGTCTGTACATGGGCTTTTTCTATTGGCGTTTTTTTAATATTTATTTTAAGTTTATTTTCTGTTTATTTACAATTTACTTGGTGTTTGTTTATAATTGGTTCACTATTTAATTATAATTTATCTTTTCAAACGAACTCCGTTCAACTGCTGCTGCTTTGGGTCCTTCTGCTTCTTAAGGGTTTAGGGTTTAGGGTTTAGGGTTTGTCAGCTAATTTCGATGCAATTCATAACATAATTCAATTTGCGCAAACAAACAAAACCCTCAAAGGCGGCGAGGGGTTAAAGGGGGCCCCTCAAGGGGCCCCAGGGGCCCCCAAGAAGTGAATTTTCGGAGGCTCCCGGGGCCCCTGGGGCCCCCAAAAATAAACCCCAGGGGTCCCCCCGGGGCCCCTGGGGGCCCCCAGAGGAGGTCCCTGGGGGCCCCTAGAGGGGGCCCCTAGAGGGGGCCCCTAGGGGCCCCCAGCGCCTCTCCTAAGGGGCTTTTAGCGGGACCCCTGGGGCCCCCGCTTATTCTGGTGGCCGCTTTTAGGTTTCTTAGGGGGGCCCCCTTTGGGCCCCCTCTAAGGGCCCCATAGCTTTTGGGGGCCCCCCGGGGGCCCCCCCAGCAGCTTTGGGGGCCCCCCGGGGGCCCCCAGAATAGTCATAAAAGTTAAACCCCCATTGAAAGGTTGCTGTGGCTCGTGGGTGGACATTTCCGCTGCCGTGTCTGTACACAAGCTGCTGCTGCTGCTGCTGCTGCTGCTGCTGCTGCTGCTGCAGCGCATGCATGGGCTGAGTTTCGCCCCCATAGTCTGGAGGCCTTCTCTGCTGCTGCTGCTGCTGCTGCTGCTGCTGTTTCTGCTGCTGCTGCTGCTGCGACTCGAGAACGCTGCCGGTTTTTCTGCTGCTCAGTCTCAAGTGCTGCGGTGTCCGTACACCTCAGCAGCAGCAGCAGCAGCAGCAGCAGCAGCAGCAGCAGCAGCAAATGCGAGGCTACTAGTTGAGCAGAAGCCCAAGGAAAGTAAGAAAGAAAATAAGAAAGAAAATAAGAAAGAAAATAAGAAGAGAAGAATAATTAGAAACTTTTTATTAAACATAAATTCAGCTACTACACTACAGGGCCAAGCCGCCAAGCGCGTCAAGCAGGAGAGGCCCTCGGGGCCCCTCCGTCCTTCCTCCCCTCCCTGCTGCTGCTGCTGCTGCTGCTGCTGCTGCTGCTGCTGCTGCTGCAGCAGCAGCAGCAGTCTAAACGAGTTTCTTGAGCAGCGGGTGCTGCTCGACCTCCGCGTCTGCGTCTGCGTCCTGCTGCTCCTTCTCCCGCTTCTCCCTCTCCCTCTCCTTCTCCCTCTGCTGCTGCTGCTGCTGCTGCTGCTGCTGCTGCTGCTGCAGCAGCAGCAGCTTGCGCCTCGCAGCCGCCGGCCCGCGCCAGTACGAGTCGAGCTGCTGCGGCTCCCGCAGCAGCAACTGGTGGGGCCCCGGGACGGGGCCCCCCCGCGGGGAGGCCCTGAGGACTCTGCAGAAAAGAGACAGTTGGGGACAAGAGACAAACTCGAGGAGACAGTGGAGCCAGCTGCGGTGGCAGGGGAGACAGTAGAACTCTGCTGCAGCAGCCCGCAGCAGCGGGAGCCTGTAGCCGGGGACTCGCGGGAAGTCGTGGTGCTCCGTGTGGTAGCCTCCGCAGAAGGTTAAGAGGTTTTCTGGTCCGTAAGAACTCCAAGTTTCTTGAAGTCTTTGACCTCGAGGGAATTGGTAATGTTCTGCGATTAAGTGGCCGTTGAAAGGGTGGAGAGAGAGGCCAAAGAAGCTGCCGAGGAGTAGATACAGCAGCGCCGCGGGGCTCAGGTGTACGTACACCCAAACGTCCCACAGCAGCACCAGCAGCACGTTCAGCAGCTCCAGCAGCAGCAGCGGCTTCCGCTGCAGCAGCAAAGGACGCAAAGTGTAGCTGAACGGCAGCAGCAGCAGGAACAGCAGCTTCCCGCTGCTGCTGCTGCACAGCCGCGCCTCCAGCCCAGAGGGCAAGTCCGGGTCCAGACCACTGGTCCCTAGATAGACATGGTGGTCCAAATGGTACTTTAAAAAGCCCATTCCCGCGGGGACTCCCATGGAGAAGTTGGCGAAAATGACGAAGAGGGGGTGGGCCCTTTTCCAGGGAAAAAGGGTGCAGTGAGCTGCCTCGTGCATGGCCAAAAAGAGAATGTGGTTCAAAGTCCCGCTGCAGCAGTAAGTCAGCAGCAGCAGCAGCCACCAGCGGGGGCCCCAGGGGGCCCCCCGGGACACCGCCCAGGCCAGCGAGAGGTTCAGCAGCACCACTGACACGGCGTAAAGGCCAGCGAGGCTGTCGTAGCCACTCAGCTGCTCCACTTCGGGATGGAGTTGCAAAATTAAACGCCGCCGACGCGCGTGGGATATCCCCTGAGAGGTCCAGTGGAAAGCCCGCGACTCGAAACGCAACTTGCTGCTGAAACCGTCCTCCAACTCCTCCTCCTCGCAGAGATCGCCCTCCTGCTGCTGCTGCTGCTGCTGCTGCTGCTGCTGCTGCTGCTGCGGAGGGGGGGAGGAGGGCGGGGGAGCGGGCGCCGCGCCGCTGCTGCAGCCGGGGGGCGAGGCAGAGGCAGACGCTGCTGCTGCTGCTGCTGCTGTTGCTGCGGGAGCAGCAGCAGCAGCAGCAGGAGCAGCAGCAGCAGCAGCAGCGGGAGGGAGGGGGGAGGCGGACATTGGGAAGCAGGGACAGAGACCCGCCAAAAACAAGGACCCAGCAGGAAGCTCCTGCTGCGACTCGGCGGCTGCAGCTGCTGCTGCTGCTGCTGCTGCTGCTGCTGCTGCTGCTGCTGCTCGCACAAGGAAGCTCGCGGCGGCGATGCGGCGCTCTCCGCACAACTGCCAGAGATCCACCAAACAGCAAGCTCCCGAAATTCAAATAAATTAATTGCGAAAATAAACTCCAGTTGCGGCAGCAAGACGCAAGCAGCAGCAGCAGCAGCAGCAAGCCCTGCGCTGCAGCAGCTGTTGTGGATGCAGCAGCAGCGCAGCAGCAACACGCCTGCTGCTGCAGCTGCAACCAAACGCGCTGCTGCGGCCCGCCCGCCAGCCCTGTCTTTCCCGCCTTCTTTGCAGCACTTTTTGCAAATTAATTTCTTTTATTTCGCCACAAAAACGCAACTTTAGTGCCCTTTCAAGCCGGCAGATACCGGGCAGCCGCTGCTGCTGCTGCTGCTGCTGCTGCTGTCGTCGGTGGGCGCCGCATCGAGAGGGGCTCTGCTGCTGCTGCTCTTCTGCTCCCAATTCCCCTCCCTTCTTCTCAAATGAATCCAATTTCCAATTTTAATTCAATTTCAAACCTTTTAGTCCATTTAAAGACCACTTTTCTGCCAAGTTCCCCGCCGCAGACTGCGCGCCCGCGCCGCAGCTAGCCCAGCAAGCTCTGTGACGCACGGTGCTGCTTCTGCTGCTGCTGCTGCTGCTGCTGCTGCTGCTGCTGCTGCTGCTTAGACTCCCCCCTGTCTTGCTTTGCTTTCCATTATTTGCTTTTCCACTTTGCTTCTTTAATTGCTGCCTTTTTAGATGCACAGCAGCAGCGCAGCAGCAGCGCAGCAGCAGCTGCGACGCAGCTGCTGCTGCTGCTGCTGCCTACTTGTGGGTCACTGCAGTTCAACGTAAACCCTTTTATTTCTGCACATTTGCAATTTAGAAATAAACTTGGACTTAAACTTAAATGCAATTTCAAATTTAATTATATTTTCATCTCCCGAAGTGCAAACATCTGCGCTTTCACTCGAGACATTTCCTGAGACAACTGCGCATTCGAGGCCACGCAAATGCGCAATGCATGCACTCAAAAGTGGACTTTTTGTTTTTAATTAGTCAAAAGTATATTCTAAATTAATTAAAAATATGTTTTCAATTAATTGAAGAAAAATTACAGACTTTTGCCCACAATTTTCGCAAATTTTCAACTCATTTCGGCTTCGTGCAACTGCACGGCCACTTCTGAATTCCACTTCTCAAAAAAGTGAAACAAAACGCCAAATGGACCTTTTAAACAAAAAAAAGAAACGTTTTAATCATTTCTGAAGAAAAAATGGAGAAAAAATGCAAAAAAATGAACAATTTGGTGAAGTGGAATTCTTGAAAAGTTGAAATCCTGAAAAGGAGGTCTGAAGATAAACTGGCAACTTACAAAGACCTTTATGGGCTCAATTCGATTTACTTAATTATATTTATTTAAATTTATTTAAATTTATTTAAATTTATTTAAATAAATATATTATTTATTTGTTTTTATTTGCAATATTCAAATTTATTTTCACTTTTATTTATAAAAACTCGCCTTTTGCTCACGGGGAAAAATAAGAAAAGGCGGAGAATCTACAAGTGGAAAAAGCGCAAAAGCACAAATGCTAAATAATAAATGAAAACAACAAAAATAAATAAATAAATAAATAAATAAATGAATAATAAACAAGTGAATTGAACAATAATGAATTAATTTGAATTCTTTTGAATATGAACATCCAAAAACTCCACAAGAAATAAAAAGAAAACATTTTGGGGGGCAAGAATACTTGCATTTGATGAAAATGCACTTTTTTGCAATTTAATTTAAATAAATTAAATTGCAAATAACTTTCTCCTAATTAGTTTCTTTGCATGCAACCAAAAAGCCCCAAAAGGCATGCAGACGCATGCAGACAAAAGAGACGCAGACACCAGTCTTACAATTAATTAACAATTAACTAATTAATTATAATTAATTAGTTATAACTAATTAATTATAGTTAATTAATTATAATTAATTAATTAATTAATTAACAGTTAACTAATTAATTATAATTAATTAGTTAATTGTTAATTAATTAATTATACCTAACTGATTCCAATTAATTAATTAGTTAATTAATTAAAATAAATGGGTGAATAAATACAGGACTATTAAAAGTATATATTTGCGAAAGTACTTGCGAAAAAACTGAAAAAGAGAAACAGATAAATGCAAGTAAGTAAAATATAAATAGAAGACCACAAAAAGATAATACAAATAAATGAAATATAAATAAATAAAATATAAATAGATAAATACAAATGAATAAATACAAATAAAAAACTCAGTTAGACAAAGATAAAAAGACAAAACATAAATGAAAATCAAAAATAAAATCAAAAAACGCAACAAATCATGAAAACGCATTTTTGTTTTAAAATATTTTTTGGGGCTTTAATGGACAATTGGAAAATAAATAAATGCATGCAAGTCCTTTAATGGAATTAATTCAAAATAAAAATCAAAAAATAAAAACTCAAAAAAGTGTCAAAAATATTGGCTGATTAATTAATCAAATAAACTAACTCTTTATATTTCTTAATTTCTTTTTTGTCTCTTTTCATTTCTCCCTCTTTGTCTCTTTTTGTTTTTTAATTTCCCTTTTTTCTTTTTTGTTTTTCTATTTCTTTTTATTTAAATCTCTATTTGGTCCGTTTTATTTATCCCCTTGTTTGTTTCTTTTTATTTGTCTTTTTTGTTTTTCTTTTTTTATCAGTCTCTTTATCTGAGTTTATTTATTTGTCTTCTTAATTATTTCATTTGTTATTTCTTTCTCTTCATCTGCTGCTCTTTATTTGCCTCAATTTATTTGCTGCTATTCATTTCCACGACAGTTGCTGCTGCTGCTGCTGCTGCTGCTGCTGCTGCTTTTGCTGCTGCTTGTGCTTCTGCTGCTGCCACTGCTGCTAATTGTGCTGCTAATTCTGCTGCTGCTGCTGCTACAGCTGTTGCTGCTGCCTCTGCTGTTGCTACTAATGCTGCTGCATCTACTCCAGCTACTGCTGCTGCTGCTGCTGCTGCTGCTGCTGCTGCTGCTGCTGCTGCTGCTGCTGCTGCTTGGAGAGAACAGCTCTTTGGTGCCACTTGGTACAATGGAAAAACTCAAAACTTATTTGGGGCCCCAAAAGAGCCTCAAGGGGCCCCTTGGGGGCCCTTTAGGGGCCCCCACACTCTGAACCCAGTCCCCTATGGGCCCCCAAGGGGCCTATGAAAATGACCCAAAAGGGTCCCTAGTGGGGCCCCTAATGGGGCCCCTAATGGGGCCCCTAATGGGGCCCCTATGGGGCCCCAGAAAGGGTCCAAATGGGCCCGCAAAAGACCCTCAAAATGCATTCAAAAGACCCTTAGAATGATCCCAAAGGGCCCCCAAAAGGCCCTCAAAAGGCCCCCAAAAGGCCCCCAAGGGGCCCCCAAGGGGCCCCCAAGGGGCCCTCAAGGGGGCCCCAATGGGCGGCCAGAAGGCGCTAACGAGGCCCCTAAGGGGGTTTAAAGAGGCCCCTTGGAGGCCCATTGGAGGCCCAGAAAGGGCCTTTAGGAAGCCCTAAAAGGGGTTTTTGATTGCCCCCAGAATGCTCTCAAAAAGGCCCAAAAGTTCTTTAAAAGAGGCCCTTAAAGGGGCCCCCAGGGGCCCCCAAGGGGCCCCTTTGTCTTTCCCTGGATGGGCCCGCTGTGAGTGCGCACAGCGCGCTGCAGCTGTGGGGCCCTTCCCTGGGGGCCCCCTAGTGGGGCCCTTTGAGCAGCAGCCCCTGGGGGCCCCCCAGGGGACCTCCAAAGCCGCCTTTTGGCCCCTCCTACGGGCCTCTTGGGGGCCCCCTGGGGCCCCCCTGGGGCCCCCCTGGGGCCCCCCTTGGGCCCCCTGGACGCGGCGGAGCAGCCCATTGGAGGCCCCTCAGAAGCCCCCGCGCGCCGGCGAAAGGGGCCCCCCTCGGTGCCCCCTGGGGGCCCCCTGGGGGCCCCCTCGGGCCCCCTGGGGGCCCCCTGGGGGCCCCGTGGGTCCCGTTGGGGCCCGTGGGGGCCCCCTAGGGGCCCCTTGGAGGTGGGTTTAGTCGGAGCCCTCGAGGAGGTAGACGAGGAGCTCGTAGAGGCTGGCTGCGACCCTGGGGTCCTGGGCCTTGACTTCGAGTTTTGCTGCTGCAGCAGCAGCAGCAGCAGCAGCAGCAGGGCGGTGGGGGCCCCTCCAGAGCCGCACGAGGGCCCTCGAGTCCCCCTGCATGTCCCCAATTGCCGGGAACTCTCCTGCTGCCAGCAAAGAGTTCTCCGCCAGTCTGTGGCGGACCCCACACACCAGCCCCAGCTTGCCCCCCAGAGACACAATCTGCTGCAGCAGGGGGGCCCCCGCAGCAGCAACAGCAGGGGCCAGCCGCAGCGCGGTGAGTCTGCTGTGGAGGCCCCCGTCGAACCACAGCTGCAGCAGCGCAGCGGGAGACAGCCGCAGGGGCCTCATGAACTGCGAAAGAACCACGGGAAGTGCAAAGACATTTCTCTCTTCTTCTCCATTGGGAAGTCCCACTTCCAGCACGACTTCCGGGACCACCAAAAAGGGTTTTAACACGGTTATTACCACCGTTTGGATCACCCTGGGGGGCCCCCCGGCCCCGGGGGGCCCCCAGGGGGCCCCCCCACAGGGGCCCCCGGGGGGCCCCCAGGGGGGCCCCTTCCCCGGCGCACGCACTATCGGCGACACTGCGCAGTGCAGGCACTCGCTGTCGTAGTTCTGGATGCTGCTGCGCACGCAGTGGAAGCCCGTGGGGGCCCCGGGGCCCCCCGCAGGGCTGGGGGGCCCCCCGGGGGGCCCCCCGGGGGGGCCCCCGGGGGGGCCCCCCGACTCCCAAAAAGGCCCCTTTTTCGACACAATGCTCAGCTCCACAGACGCATGCAAAGTCCGGTTCACAGGGAAACTGCTGGTCCCCACCAAACAAGAAACTCGCAAAGTTTCGTTTTCAAATAAAACCCCTTGCTGCTGCAGACACAGCAGCCGGAAGCGGTCTGCGGCTGTCTCCAGGGGCCCCGTGTACAGCTCGGGGCCCCGCCCCCACGCGGGGGGGCCCCCCGGGGGGCCCCCCAGGGGGCCCCCCGCCGGGGGGGGCCCCCCGCTGGCGTCCCACACGGAGGGGCCCTTCGGGGGGCCCCCAAAGTACCCCTCCTCCCCACACGGGGGGGGCCCCGGGGGGCCCCTCACGTACGGCGCGTCCGCAGAACGCGAACGGGGGGCCCGGGGGCCCCAGGAGAGGGCCCCCCGCGGGCTCGGGGGGCCCCTCCAGCGGGGCGGGAGGGTCTCCGTCTTCACGGGGGCCCTCAAGGAGACACTTGTACCCTCTACTGTCTCCAGGGGCCTCCCGGCCAGCGCTGGGGGCCTCCGGGGGTCATAAGGGATGCACGGCGACGCGCGGGAAGCCCCTGAAACCACTCAATTAGGGTTTAGGGTTTAGGGTTTAGGGTTTAGGGTTTGCAGGGGCTTCCCAGGAGTGTCTGGCTCTAAAAGAGGCTAGCGTTTTAACACCCGACAGACCCGGAAGCGTCCCGCAAGCGCCTAGGGTTTAGGGTTTAGGGTTTAGGGTTTAGGGTTTAGGGTTTGGGCGCACCCTTTGGAGGGTCTGTGTTGGCTGCAATGTCCACCACTGTTGTGACAACGGGGCCCCCCAGGGGGCCCCCCCTGAGGGCATTAGCAGCAGCATCATCAAAGGAGGCCCTTGCGAGTTGGGGTTCGCAGCTGTTGCAGTGGGTCTCCACGAGGACCTGCGCGCAAACCCCAAACCCTAAACCCTAAACCCTAAACCCTAAACCCTAAACCCCAAACCCTAAACCCTAGTCCCCAAGCGGGAGTTGGCGCGCGCGGCCCTTGAGCCCGCTAGGGCTTCTCCTCCGCGGGCTCGCGGGCCTTTGTTGGGGTCGCGGGGAGTCGCTGTTTCAGGGTTTAGGGTTTAGGGTTTAGGGTTTAGGGTTTAGGCGGACGGCTCTGCCTGGGGGCGGCAGCGCGGCGTGCAGCTCCTTCTCGGGATACAGAGTTGGCTTCGGAGGAGACACTGGATGTTTGTAATAAAAGCGAGCTCCTTCGTGGAGACGAACAGCACTGGAGGAGACTCGAGATCTGTCTCCGAGTTCGACGGGGGGGGCCTCATAGACGACGGCCCAGCCGTCGGTGTCTTCGAAGGGGCCCCAGGGGCCCCCGGGGCCCCCGGGGCCCCCGGGGCCCCCCCCCGCGTGGGTGGGGGTGTCCGGGGGGGAGAAGTCGGGGAGTTTGGAGCACTCGTAAACCCTCAAAAGGAGGTAAAGGGGCTGGCTGCAGAGGTCCCCGAGGGTTTGGCGGAGACCCTCAGTGTCGATGTTCTCCAGAGTTTGCAAAGAATAATCCACCAAACTGTAGCGCAAGTGCTGCACTTCCGTGGCACTTGTCCGCAGACACAAGGCCGGCAGCAGCTCGCCCAGCGCGCGCGCCTGCATGCGCAGCCGTTCTTCCGGGCTGTCTGTACACCCCGCTGCGGTGTCTGTACACCCGGCTGCTGCGCATGCGCAGCCCGGCGGGGTGTCTGTACACCCCGTTGGGGTGTCTGTACACCCGGCGCTGCTGAGGAGGACTTTGGCGAAGTGGGGGGCGTGTTTGGCGGCGTGTCTGTACACCCGGCGCCCGCGGGCCTCCGCCTTGCGGCTGTCTTTCCTTCCCAGTTTTGTTTTTTCCACCAAACTTATTCTGTGGATTTGATTGGCGTGGCTTTCCGTGGGGGCTGGCAGCCACTGTTCTCCGACGAAGACGAACTTGGGGGCGAAGCTGTGGGCCGGGATGACTGCTGTGTGGCGGTCTAGTTTTATTACGGGCTGGGGCCCCACAGTGCGCTCTTCCTCCACCACCACTGTGGGGGGCCCCCCGGGGGGCCCCCCGGGGGCCCCCGGGGGGGCCCCCGGGGGGGCCCCCGGGGAGGAGGTCACCACGGCCACGGCGGGGGGGGG